TGTGGTAAAGATGGGAGAAATGGTGGAAGAGGGACTGAAGTCAAGTAAGATCATGAGCTATTCTGCCTTAAAAGCCACAACACAAGCAATTCAGAACGACACAGGAAGCTTGTTGGGTCAGAAGGAACATGATGATGTTGTCATGGTTGTCTCAGGATCACAACATGGCCAACGGGTCCGCCTCACCAATATACTCAACCTCGACCCCGACCCCAACCCCAAACCTATCTCCGAGCTCCACATAATCCACCTTAGTACTATTCCCCTAACAACGTCTGGTCCTCTGCCCAATCACTGGGTCACTTCTTATGGCGAGCACCAGCACCGCATAATACTCTTTCGCCTTTACAACATTTTTAAGCACCCAAAAATCCTAGGAAACAGGGGCATAGAGGGGAACAAAGGCAAAGAAATAGTTTTACGCCAATCGGAGAATCCTACACAAGCTTGTTTGAAAAGTTAAAATAGTCTGGCCTAATTGAGCCACTCCTCGGATCGTCTTCCTTTTTGTGACAATTCCATTAGTAGTTCTAGACCTTTTGAATTTTTGTACTCTGATGTTTGGGGTCCTTCTCATATTCACTCATTTGATAATTTTCGATTTTATGTGATTTTTGTGGATCACTATACAAAGTACACTTGGTTATTCCCATTAAAGAATAAATCAGATGTTCAAGGAGTATTTGTGAACTTTCATAGAATGGTGAAAACCCAATTTCACCTTACTGTTGGCACACTCTATTCAGATGGGGGTGGAGAATACATAAGATTAAAATCTATCCTTACACAGCATGGCATTCAACATCTCACTAGTCCTCCCTACACTCCTCAAATTGTTGGAATAGCTGAACGCAAGCATCGACATATCATAGATACTGCTCTAACTTTAATGCACCTTGCGTCTGTACCTTCATGTCTTTGGTCATTGGCTTGTCAAACAGTTGTCTACCTTATCAATAGGATGCCTACTCCATTGCTCAAACTTCGTTCTCCTTTTCAATGCCTCTTTCACACATCCCCTAATCCTTTGAAATTAAGAGTTTTTGGTTGTTTATGTTACCCCTGGTTAAAACCATATAACAACAACAAACTTGCTCCCAAATCAAGACCTTGTGCTTTTATGGGATACTCACCTTCTACAAATAGTTATGCATGTTTTGATCTTTCAACCTCCAAAATATTCATCTCAAGAAATGTCCTCTTTGTGGAACATATATTTCCATTCAAAAATAATCATCTAGGTCTTCCCAGAATAGAACCATCACTCTTGCACCAGTAGATCCACTCCACAGAACCAACCAATGTTTCTCCAGTACAAAACCAATCAGATATTGCCTTTGAACCTATCTCATTGCCTCCCTCAAGTAACTCTTCTTGTCAGGAGCCACCCATGGAAGATTCACCAAGCATATCATTGCAGGATGATGCTTCACTTTCATTCGAGGTACGATCTTCTCCACCTTATTCTTCTTCTACTCCTACGCCTCTTCCCTCTTCTTCTACCACACAAGTGGTACCTCTTCCTCCCTCAAGAATGGTGATGAGATCTCAAAATAATGTCTTCAAGCCCAAACAAGTTTTTAACTACCTTGTTGTCTCGCCCAACAAAACACTGACACTAGCACCTCACACGTTTAAGCAAGCAAACAAATATATTGAATGGCATGATGCAATGCAGGTTGAATACTCAACTCTTTTGAATAATGCTACTTGGTCTCTAGTTCCTCCAACTTCATCATAAAATGTGATAGGCTGGAAGAGGGTGTTTTGCGTGAAACACAATGCAGATGGATCAATCGAACGCTATAAAGCGCGTCTAGTTGCAAATGGTTTTCATCAAAGACTGGGTGATGATTTTCATTCTACCTTCAGTCCAGTCATTAAACATACCATCATTCGTCTAATTATCTCTTTAGCAGTGTCTTTTAGGTGGCCCTTACGATAACTAGATGTCAACAATGCCTTTCTCCAAGGCACCTTGCATGAAGAAGTCTATATGCAACAACCTCCGGGATTCATTGATCATGTTTATCCCAATTATGTCTGTAAACTTCATAAATCCATTTATGGACTTCGCCAAGCTCCAAGAGCTTGGTATACAAAGCTCAAGAACTTTCTTCGTTCATGTGGTTTCAGCAAAAATCATTCGGATAACTCGCTGTTTGTCTGGTGTCAACACAATATCCTTATCTTTGTTATAGTGTATGTCGATGAAAATGTTGTCATTGGTTCGTCAATCAAGCATGTCGACCACACCATCAAGTTGTTGGACAACATGTTCTCTATCAAAGATCTTGGATCTTTGTATTTTTTTCTTGGTGTCGAAGTCATTCCACATTCAGATGGTTTCTTACTTACTCAAAGCAATTACATTGCTGAGCTATTAGATGAATTTCACATGCTGGAAACAAATGGTCCAATCTCACTTATCCTTGAATATTACTCCCTTTAATTAATTTTTACGATATAATTACTAAAAGAAGAATCAAATAATTTTTACTACAAGTTTATGTTTATTATGAAACTAATAATGACTTATATATTCATACTTCCAAACGCTCATTACATATCTTTTTTTATTGTTGGCTAGATGCTATTGTAAAAATAAATGAGAAGTTAACCAAAAGCTAATTACCCTAAATAAGACTATAAGAGAAGCAAAACAAAAGCATTTCTCGTGCCAATAATCAAGCAAATAAACAAGATTCAAGAAGAATTTGTTTCTCTTTAGGTAGGCATTTTCAAAGAGTCCAATTGATATAATTCCGTACTTTTGGTGGAATCATTTGGGCCTTGAACTTTTTGCCAGTTCAGTGTCTTTTTGCCCTTTGCCATTTTGGTCCGCACGGCTCTCCCCTCGGAAAGGGACAGTTTTGCCCATCTTTTGTCTTTTTTGGACTCCAATGTTTATACATCTGATGAGAAGTCATTTTATTTGTTTTTACTCCATTTGCTCTAATTTATGTGGCTTTTGACTAGAAACATAACAAGAAACAAAGAGATTTTTTAAAATTTATAGGCAAAATGCATAGTTTACCTATCAATCTTATAGGTAAATCCTTATTACACACCTATTCGGCTAAATTTTTACATATCCAACCTTTCCCAAGTGTGTATAAGCCCCCCCTCCTCCCCCAAAGTTGACCAGGTCCATTAATAGTTCATACGGTGTATTACACGTGCTTGACTTACCATGACCACTATAACACCCGATCCATCTGTCTAATAAACCTATTACATTACCCGACCCACTCCGATTAAAAGCCTAAGTGCAAATAACCCCAAAACTAATTCCCTATTTATCGACTCTTTTTGAAAGTGCTGAAAGAGATCCGTCCAATGCATGTGGATATGATTTACATCGGATAATTTTTCCATTCACATGAGGTTAATTTCAAGTCATTCAAGTAAGTATGCATATTTTATCCGTCCAGTGCATATGAATTTTGTTTTTTGCTATTTATCTTTACCCGATTAAGGGTTTCATTCTTTTTTGAAGGGGAATCCTTTGTCATTCTCATTAACAAATTTTGTGGTTGGTTTATTTTTCGCATCTGAATTGCGTTTGGCCGGAAAAATAAAGAACCCTATGTCGGAATATTACATGAAATTGGGACTCTATTTTTTGAACCCTTCGTTACCGTTACTTGCTCTTAGTGGTAGTGTTTACCTGATACCTTTTGCTTATAGTGGCGATAGTGAACGATGTGAGAGTAAGGTCATGTCCTCGGGTAGGGCTGGGGGTGGGGTCCAGGGGTGGGAAGGGGGTAAGAAAGCCTCTAGACTGAGAGTTGGNCTACTTGTTCTTAGTGGTAGTGTTTACCTAATACCTTTTGCTTATAGTGGCGGTAGTGAACGATGTGAGAGTAAGGTCATGTCCTCGGGTAGGGCTGGGGGTGGGGTCCAGGGGTGGGAAGGGGGTAAGAAAGCCTCTAGACTGAGAGTTGGGTCTTGGAACATTGGGACGTTGACGGGGAAGTCTATAGAGTTAGGTAAGATTCTTCAGAAGAGGAAGTCAACATAGCGTGTGTTCAGGAGACTAGAGGAAGGGTACTAGGGCACGAGATGTAGACGGGTTTAAACTATAGTACTCAGGAAGCGTTGGGGGTAAGAATGGGGTAGGTATTTTAGTTGACAGGGACCTTAGGGAGCTCTTGGTCGAGGTTAGGAGGGTAAATGATAGGTTGATGAGTATTAAACTGGTAGTTGGTGGGTTTACTGTAAACGTGATTAGTGCATACGCTCCTCAGGTAGGTTTGGACCAGGAGATCAAGAAGCAATTCTTAGAGAATTTGGACGAGATGGTGCGTAGTATCACGCACATAGAGAAGTTGTTCACTGGCAGAGATTTCAATGGTCATATTGGGGCTAGTGCTAGGGGTTATGATGATGTGCATGGCGGGTTTAGTTTTAGGAATAGGAATGAGAGAGGTAATTCACTATTGGAGTTTGCTAGAGCTTCCGAAGAGGGAAGAGCACCTGGTCACTTTTCGGAATTCAATGGGCAAGACTCAGATTGATTATCTTCTCTGCAAGAAATACGATAAAAGTTTGTGCAATGATTGCAATGTCATCCCAAGTGAGCACCTCACGACCCTACATAGGCTCATAGTTATGGAACTGGAGATCAAAAGGAATAAGAGGATGAGGGCGGGGTGCAGGAAACCTAAGATCAAGTTAGGGTAACTTGACCAAGGACAAAGCTGAGGAGTTAGGAGAGAAGTTGTTAGCTATGAAGGCCTGGATGAGTAGGGGGCGCGTCTAGTATATAGTTCACAACTGCGAATTGCATTAGGGTAGCTGCTAGAGAGGTCTTAGGGGTCACGAAGGGCTCTCCTAGGGGTCATAAAGGGGACTAGTGGTGGAATGGAGAGGTTCAAGGTAAAGTGGAAGCTAAGAAAGCTGCTTATTTGAAGCTAGTGAAGAGTATAAACGAGGAGGAAAAAAGGACTTATCGGGAGTGTTATAGAAAGGCAAAGAAAGAGGCAAAATTAGTAGTTATGACGGCTAAGAACACGGCATTTGCTCGTTTGTATGAGGAGCTCGGGAGCAAAGGCGGGGAAAAGAGGTTGTACCGATTGGCCAAGGTAAGGGAGAGGAAAGCCAGTGAGTTAGATCAAGTCAAGTGCATCAAGGACGAGGATGGAAAAGTGTTGATGGATGAGGCATTTATTAGGAGAAAATGACAGACATACTTCCATAAACTGTTAAATGAGAAGGGGGAAAACGCATTGTGCTGGGTGTGTTGGAGCACTACGAGAGTCAGTAGGATTTTGGGTACTATAGGGGATTACGGTAGAGGAGGTGGAAGGGGCGATGCGTAAGATGTGAAGGGACAGAGCGACGGGGCCCGACGAAATCCTGGTAGAATTTTGTAAGAGCGTGGGGCAGGCAGGTTTGGGTGGCTCATTGGGCTGCTTGATGTTATTTTTAAGATGAAGAAGATGCCCGAAAAATAGAGGTGGAGTACGATGGTTCCGCTTTACAAGAACAAGGGTGATATCCAAAATTACAACAATTATAAGGGTATCAAGTTGTTGAATCACACTATGAAAGTTTAGGAGAGGGTGGTAGAGGCCAGGGTGAAGAGGTGCGTGTCTATTTCCGAGAATCAGTTTGGATTCATGCCGGGGCATTCAACTACGGAAGTGATTCATCTGGTAAGGAGATTAGGATTTGCATATGGTGTTTATTGACTTTGAGAAATCATATGATAAAGTCCTGAGGGAGGTCTTGTGGAGGTGTTTGGAGGTTAGCGGCGTTCTGGTAGCATACATTAGGGTGATTAAGGATATGTATGATGATACTAAGACTCGAGTGAGGACTGTGGGTAGTGACTCGGAGCATTTCCCTGTGGAGATGGAGTTGCACCAGGGATCGGCTCTTAGCCCATTGTTATTTGCCTTGGCGATAGATGTACTGTTGCGACACATACAAGGGGAGGTGCCATGGTGCATGCTATTTGCCGATGATATACTATTGATTGACGAGACACGAAGCGGAGTTAACGTGAGGTTTGAGGTTTGGAGACAGACCTTGGAGTCTAAAGGTTTCAAATTGAGTAGAACCAAGATAGAATACGTGGAGTGCAAATTCAATGATGGGACCCATGATGCAGACGTAGAGGTTAAGTTTGATGCTCAAGTTATCCCCAAGAGAGCGAGTTTTAAGTATCTCGGGTCTATTATCCAGGATAACGAGGCGATTGACAAAGATGTCACACATTGTATTGGAGCGGGATGGATGAAGTGAAGGCTTGCTTTTGGTGTTTTATGTGATAAGAATGTATCGCCAAGACTTAAGGGTAAGTTTTATCGAGTGGTGGTTCGACCGACTATGTTGTATGGGGATGAGTGTTGGCCAGTCAAGAACTCCTACGTGCAGAATATAAAAGTAGAAGAGATGAGAATATTGAGATGGATGTGTGGGTGTACCAAAAGAGATATGATTAAGAATGAAGCTATCCAGGACAGAGTGGGAGTAGCCTCCGTGGAGGACAAGATGTGAGAGTCGAGGCTGAGATGGTTCGAACATGTTAAGAGAAGAAGCATTAATGCTCATGTCAGGAGGTGTGAGAGTTTAGCCATGGAGATTTTGAGAAGAGGTCGAGGTTGGCCTAAAAAATATTGGGGAGAGGTGATTAGGTATGAAATGGCGTTGCTTCAGCTCACTGAGAACATGACCCTTGATAGTAGGGTGTGGAGGTCGAGGATTAAGGTAGAAGGTTAGTGGGTAGTTTTCAGTTGTTCACCGATAGTCTTAGTAGCATGCATGTCCCTTTATATTCTTAGATTTTTATTACATTATGCGGTTTTGTTCGCCTCAGGTATTAAATTCCCCGTTGCTATTACTTAGTACTACTTATCCTTTATCTCTCCCTTTTTCTTTTCTATTCCTTCTTTCTTCCTTCCTTGCTTTCCTCTTTTTCTTCTTTCTCTTCCTGAGCCGAGGGTCTATTGGAAACTGTCTCTCTACCTACATTAGGTAGGGGTAAGGTCTACGTACAAGCTACCCTCCCTAGACCCTACCTGTTGGGATCATACTGGATTTTTTTTTGTTGTTATTGTTATTGTTGTTGTTGTTGTTGTATTCTGCTCTTTGTAAATAGTGTCTAATTTTAGGGTTTTTCTAGTTTTTTTTATTGTTACACCTGATTTGAATATGGTGAATTGCTTTGGCTTTATGTGTAACTTTTTGTTTCATTATTCATTACTGTATGTGAGAGTGAACTCTCTTGACCCTTTTTGCAGGGAAAATGTCTTTTTAATTGATTATGTTTAAGTGGTATCATGATGGGGTGTTAGTTCCTGATATTTTTACTCATTATGTGAGGGGAGGAGTCAATCATTGACCTTATATGTAAATGTGGATATATTATTATTTTTTGAGCTTATGGATTACACTAAGCAAATGGGGTTAAAAAATATTGTTGAGTTGTATATCTGTCCCATGTACAAAAGTGATAAGTTGGTAAATATACTGGCTGATAAGGATATATTAGACATTTAAAATGAATCGGAGGACGGGGACACCCTGGACATTTATGTCACACATGTTGCCCCTTTAATGGTAATTGACATAAATGCTACTGGCCAGAGGTTGGTAGGACAAATAGTGAGGCTGATAAAGTCACTATAAAATTAGAAGAGCAAGAGGGAGAACAAGCTCAAGAGGGAGGAACAGAGGAAGATGATGAAGGTAAGCTTGATAATGAGAATGACTCAGATTTTGATAGTTCATCTAGGTCTGAGAGTGGTGGAGTTGATGTAGATGTTCATGATGATAATCACTATGGCTCTGATGTACATAAAGATTTTAGGGAGTGCAAGGAAGTGTTAAGGAAGTATAGGAGGAAAAAGAATGAAAGCCTAAAGATAAGGGTGACATAAATCTAGGGGATGCTGGTATAGACCGCAGGTTTGATGAGTTGAGGACTGAGAGCAATGAAAAAAGGTATGAAGGATTAGTTGGAACTGATGAGCCATATTTTGGTTCTTCTGATGCTCAAAGTTTTGCTTCAGATGAGGAAAACGAGTTTGATGAAGAATACAAGAGAAAACTTGATGCAAAGAAGAGAAAAAGAGGTTGATATTTGATCCAATTGTCAAGAAAATAACATGGGAGTTGGGCCTTATTTTTTAAAATGTTACTGAGATTAGGTGGGTTGTATCCAGATATGCTATCCACAAAGGAGTTCAAATTGAAAAGAACATGCAAATGTGGTTGTCCATGAAATCTGTTTGCTAACAAAGATGGAAGATCCAATAATTTCAAAGTGAAGAGATATTGTCCTATCTATAAGTATTATAGGACCAACAAGCACGAGCTTTGCAACTCTAGAAATCTAGCAAAGCATTGCAGGGATAAAATTATTTCCCAGCCAAATATGAGGGGTTGGGAGTTGAAACATTTGTTAAGCTAGAACTAGACATGTATGTTTGTAGGTCCACTGTCCATGGAGTTAGGGCAAAGATTTTGAAGGAATTAATTGGAGATGTTCAAAAAGACTAAAGGGATGTTATTTAACAGACAAATCCTGGCACAACTTGTGTTGTGAAAAAAATAGATAATGGGGATGAAAAGCATGTGTTCCAGTCCTTTTATGTGCATTTTTATGCCATAGAGAAGGGCTAGATGGAAGGTTGCAGAAGAATAATTGGTCTACATGGTTGTTTCTTAAAAGAAATGTGCAAGGGACAACTGCTTGTAGCTCTGTCTAAAGATAACAATAATCAGAAATTTCTAATTACTTGGGACATTGTAGAGTGTGAGAGCACCTCACTTGGAGTTGATTTATCAAGTGCTTGGTTGATGACTTGATGCTGAAGGAAGGTAGATATCTCACCATTATGTCTGATATGCAGAAGATAATATTTGTTATGTTTGATTTTTTTTGTTATACAATGAATGAATTTTATATGACTAATGTAACTAATGCATTTTCTGACTTGTACTTGATGTTTAGGGTAACTAATTACTTGTTTCCTGACAGTGAACATAGGTGGCGTGTTAGGCACATTTTAGTAAACTGGTAAAAGAAATAGAGAGGGTTGGAAAGAATAAAATGCTTTTGTAGGTGTGAAAAATCATCATGTGTTGTAGAATTGAATATCCAAATAGATAACCTAAACAAGCTTGGTAATGGGATTTGTGAGAGCATACTTCAATTGTGATATTAAATGTGATGTAACTGATAACAACATGTGTGAAACCTTTAATGTATGTATACTAGTGTTTCGAGATAACATGGCTTATTCTATAAAATGTACTATTATGTGGAATGACGAGGCTGGCTATGAGATTGAGGATGGTCCATATAAGCATTGTGTGAATATGCAAAATCAGATAGCAATTGCAGATCATGGATGCTGAAGTGTATCCCTTGTGCTCATGCAATTGCTGTAATGCACTTCAAAGACATTGAGCTTCTTACTTGTATATCCCATTAGTACCAAAAATCCACTTACCTGAAAGCATACTCAACCTTTATCCAGCAAGTGCCTAGCATGATAATATGGCCAGCATACCAATTCACCCATTAAACCTCGACCTATTAAGAAGATGCCTGGCAGGCCCAAGAAGAGGAAGAGAAGAAATAAAACATCCTAAATCTGGCAAATTGTCAAAGTGGGGTATGGAAATGAGTTGCTCAAATTGTGGTGGTTATGGACACAACAAGAGTGGATACTCTAAGGATCCAAGACCTGCATGTTCTACTCCTACAAATGCTTCTTTTACAAGAGGGAGAGCTTAGAATATTTCTATTCTCGCTGCAGGTTTTACTCCTGCACAACCTACACCTATTGCACATAATTCTACTACCAAAGGAAGAGGTAGAAAAAATATTCCAGCTACTGGTTATGGTAGGGGAAGAGGGGTTGGAAGAGCTATGGAAAGTTCTGGGATTGGTGTATTTCAAGATGGCTCTGGGGTTAAGTCTTTTTTCATAAGTATTGTACAACTTAAACTTATGCACTTTGTAGTGATTATTTTTAATCAAATTCTTTTTTGAGTGATGATATTCAAAGAGTGGTTATAACTGGTCAAAAGAGGCCTTCGGCTGACGTTCTAGAGTGCGCTTAAAACCCAACCAAAGAAGTCAAGTGGAATGGCAAACCAGCCATTATAACAAGGCAACTCCAAAGAGCTGCTGTATAACATGCCAACCTCAGTCAAGCAAGTTCATCCTCTTAGCCGACCAAGAATAAGGCTAATTAGTATATTTAGCTCTTTATATGGTGCTAAGTTTGTTTTGATGTCTAGTATAATTTTTGAAAAATAGAATTGCAATCAAACTGTTAAGGTTGCTATGGGCAGCTAATATGTGTTATGTTTAATGTTGCTGAAGACAAAGATCTATTTTTTAATGTTGTTGAAGACAAAACGGCTATTATGTATTCGTTTTGATGTACTTTGTTAAATGTCTGATGGCATTTTCAGCTGGTAGTCTTTAACGAACACCTTTCTTTGTGAAATGGAAGCAGTTTGTGATTATCCTTTATATAGTATTTTCTATATAGCATTTATATAGCTTTTATATGCTATGGATAACAACTATCTTATATAGCTTGATGGCTTCTACTTATGAATGACAATTGATCACCAGGTGGTAGTCTTTAATGAACGAAAATTTATATAGCTTGATGACTTGTGCTTTTATATTGCTTGAACACTTTTTAGGGTAGTGGGCACCAAAATTCTCAACACTTTTAAATAAAATTATACAACTCATCACCTTAATAAATGTAAGCACGTAATTTTTGACTCATCGATTGCTCAAGCTATTCCAATATTTTATACATATATATTTGAGTTTATATTAATTTTTATAGGATTTTAATATATATATATATATATATATACACACACATAAGTACTTTTAATATTCATCTTATTATACTTTCTATTATTATTATTATCACTATTTTTGTTTAAGGGTTTTAGTATTTTTATAATATATTACTTTAATTCTATTAGGATTTTAATTTATTTATATTCACTTTTATTTTATATAATCTTGAAAATACCAAAGATAGTTTCATGCCATAATATAGTTTTTTTAATTAATTAGGAATGATTTCACAATTTCATAGTATATTATTATAGAAAAAAATATTAATATTTTTAGCCTTGTAGAATTAAAGGGACACTTTTAAAATTTTAACCCAAATTGAGGCCCAAAATCGGATCTCTTTTGAGCCCGATTGTGACGACCTGACCAGTCGTCTCATGAGTTACCGCTTCATTTCTCTCATTTCTGCTTCTTATTGCTTTGTCTATTGGTTCTATATGTAATCGTATTGGTTGGCTCGGGTTCGGAAAGGATTTGGTAAGGTTTGAGACACTTAGTCTCTTTTGAGGAAGCTTAAGTTGGAAAAGTCAACTGGATATTGACTTATGTGTTAGAGGACTCGGATGTGAGTTCTGATGGTTCAGATAGCTTGGGGAGGTGATTTGGAACTTAGGATCATGATCGGAATATGTTTTGAAGGTCCGGAGTAGATTAAGGCTTGAATTGACAAAATTGGATTTTCGGCGTTTTCCTGTTGATATGTAAGATTTTGATATAGGGTTGGAATGGAATTCTGAGAGTTGCAGTAGATCCGTTGTGTTATTTGGGATGTATGTGCAAAATTTCAGGTCATTCGGACGTGGTTTGGTTGGGTCTTTGATCAAAAGTGGAATTCGGAAGATTTTTGGAATCTTAGGCTTGAATTTGATGTGATCTTGGTGTTTTAATGTTGCTTGAGGTGTTTTGAAGATTGGTACAAATTTGAATAAGGTTATGGGATATGTTTGTGTTTTTGGTTGAGGTCCCGGGGGCCTCGGGGTGATTTCGGGTGGTTGACGGGGAGATTGGGAGTTTGGTGAATGCTGCAGATTTGTTGTTTCTGTTGTTTCCGCACCTGCAGATTTGGGACCGCAAGTGCGACGCCGCAAATGCAGAAGATTTGTTGCAGAAGCGGAATTAGGCTGGAAAGGCTAGAGTCGCACCTGCGTAGCGCAGGTGCGGGCAATGCATCGCAGATGCGATTTTGGTAACTTAAGTGAGGACCGCAGATGTGATGGTCTTGACCGTAGAAGCGGGTATTTGGCCGCAGATGCGAAATCCTTGGGCCAGAAAGTATAAATTGTTTCCTTCGCGATTTTTGAGATATTCCACCATTTCTAAGTCGGCTTTGGAGCTTTTAGACGATTTTTGAAGAAGGATTTCAAGGGAACTTCATTGAGGTAAGAATTTTGGACCTAAAACTCGTTCCTATGGTATTATTTCATGGATTAGGCTTGTAATTAATGGAATTTAAGGATCAAAGTATGGGGGAAACTAGGGCTTGGTATTGGAGGCCTAGACTTGAGGATTTGAGGGACCATTTGTGGTTAGATTTTGGCACTTTTGATATGTATGAACTCGTGGGGAGATGAGAAATCTATTGATGTGAATTTATCGAATTCCGAGACGTGGGCCCGGGGTCGGATTTTGGTAATTTTGGGATTTGAGTTGTAAATTGATTATTTTTTCTTGGGCTTCATTCCTTTAGCATATTTTGACGCTGTGATTCTGATTTTAGATAGATTCGACGCGAGTGGAAGCCGATTCGAGGGGCAAAGGCATCGCGTGCTAGAGATTTGAACAGATTGAGGTGAGTAATGATTGTAAATAATGTCCTGAGGGTATGAAACCCCTGATTTGCACATCGTTGTGCTATATTGAGGTGACATGCACGCTAGATGACGAGCGTGGGGTCGTGCACTGTTGGGGATCGTGACTTAGTCCATCCCGAATGACTATTTTATCGCACATTTGACTGAAAATTGTTTGCTATCATTATGTTTTGGGCTGAATGCCATATTTGGGCCTCGTGTCAACTATTTGAACCCTTAGGGGATTTGTATTGATATTTCCTCACTGTTTTGACATTATACTTGAACTCAGTCAAGCTATATTCTAATGTTTTCCATAATTCAGCCATGTTTACTCTACTCTAACACTTAAATGATATTTTGGGCTGAGCACTATGTTTTACTTTTGCCCGAGTGGCTGTGAGATTCTAACTGAGTAAGGCAGATGGCCTATGTTGTGAGGAAACACTGATTATGATTATGAGGCCGAGGGCCTGAGATTTATAAGCCACGAGATGGCTTATTGATATGAGGCCGAGAGCCTAGTGATGATGCCACAAAATGGCTTGATATTGCTCTTAGGCCGTAAGGGGGCCCTCCAGGAGTCTGCACACCCTCAGTGAGCACGGGTACCCAATGTGATGTGAGAGATAGCCCGAGGGGCTGGTGTTGTTCTATGATCTTGCCCGATGGGCGATCCTTTATGTGTTTATCTTTCCTATTTGCCTGCCATTTGCTTGCCATTTGCTTGCCTAACTGTTAAAAAGACATTTTATGAAGTGTTAAACTGAACTCAGTAATTTTACACATCTTTACTGCTTCACTGTTTTACCAGCTTTTACTACTTCCTTATAGCTTATAATGTGTCTTACGTGATTTCTTGCTTTCAGTTTTTATTTATGATTATTACTCATTGATTATTACACATATTTACTGCTTCACTATTTTACCAGCTTTTACTGCTTCCTTATAGCCTATAATGTGCCTTACGTGATTTCTTGCTTTCAGTCTTTATTTATGATTATTACTCATTGATTATTACACATATTTACTGCTTCACTATTTTACCAGCTTTTACTGCTTCCTTATAGCCTATAATGTGCCTTACGTGATTTCTTGCTTTCAGTCTTTATTTATGATTATTACTCATTGAGTTGGAGTACTCATTTTACTCCCTGTACCCCGTGTGCAGATTCAGGCATTGTTGATCCTACTAGCGAGGGCTGAGAGCTCTCGACAGATTTTGGAGTTCACGAGGTAGCTGCTTGGCATCCGCAATCCCGTGTTTCTTCCCCTTTATCTCATTTCTTTCTCTGTCAGTGATCCTGTAATAGTTTAGTAGACACTTCAAACTTGTAGTACACTGATAGATGCTCATGACTAGTGACACCCCGGTATCGGGCACTATTGGTTTTGTGTTCCACAAATTGTATTATTCACCGTATTTTGGGGTTTTATTATGTTAAATGACTTAATTCTTATTGTTTAATTGCTTAAACTGAAATTGGTAAGTGTCGGCTGGCCTTGTCTTCACGAGAGGCGCCATCACGACCGAGTTCGGGTTTAGGGTCATGACAAGTTGGTATCAGAGCCTAGGTTACATAGGTTTCACGAGTCATGAGTAGGTTTACTAGAGTCTCACGGATCGGTATGGAGACGTCTGTGTTTATCCTCGAGAGGCTACAGAACCTTTAGGAAAAACTTTATATTCTTGAACTTCTTGTCGTGCAAATTTGTTGATTTGAGTACTAAACTTCTGTTATTCTACTCTCTCACATATGGTGAGGACACATACTACCGGCCAGGATGGACGACTACCACTACCACCATCCATGGCCACTAGAGGCCGAGGATGCGGTCGTGGTATGGGCAGAGGTGTTGCTTGCAAAGCAGCTAGGGCAGCACCTGCAGATCCACCAGCCGCCCCAGTTCAGGATCATGTCCCAGATGTGGACGCTTCAGCAACACCAGCTCAGGAACCAGCTGTGCCCATTATGATTCTGGGTCTTCAAGAGGCCTTGGCTCAGATTCTATCAGTTTGCACTGGCCTATCTCAGGCGGTCTTAGTTACTGCCGCCCCAACTACTTCTTAGGCTGGGGGGGGCACTCAGACTCCCGCCGCTCACATACTTGAGCAGGTCGTGTAGGGACTTCAGACGCCGGGGGCACATCTAGCCCAGCCGGTTGCAGCAACTCAGGACTATGTAGTTCCTGCCATGCCAAAGGACGAGCAGCGTAGGTTGAAAAGGTTTGGTAGACTTAAGCCTCCGACCTTTAGTGGTGCAGAGGGCGAGGATGCCTAGGGTTTCTTGGATAAGTGTCAGAGGATGCTTCGTACAGCGGGTATTCTGGAGACCAGCGGGGTCACTTTCTCTACTTATCAGTTTTCTGGAGCTGTCTTCACTTGGTAGGAGACTTTTGAGAGACGTAGTCCTGTTGGTGCAGCACCCCTTACCTGCCAGCAGTTCTCCGTTCTCTTCCTGGAGAAGTATGTGCTACAGTCTCGCAGAGAGTAAATGCGCAGGCAGTTTGAGAGGTTGCGTCAAGGAGAGATGACTATGACGTAGTATGAGATGAGGTTCTCCAAGTTAGCTCGTCATGCTATTTGGTTGGTTTCGATAGATAGAGAGAGGATTAGGAAGTTTGTTGATGGCCTCACTTATCAGCTTCGTATTCTCATGACCAAGGAGAGGGTGACTGGTGCTACTTTCGAGGAGGCTGTGGATATTGCCTATGAGATTGAGTCTATTCGTCACCAGGAATGAGAGGAGAGGGAGGCCAAGATGCCTCAAGGATCTGGTAGTTATAGTGGTGCTCCTTCGAGAGGTTAGTTTCAGCACGGCAGAGGTCATCCATTCAGGCATGCTCAGCCAACTCGCCCAGGTTATCGTGGGGCATCGTCGGGTCATAGTTCTCACAGCTCTCATCAGGGCCAGTCATCACTTAGTGCTCTTCCAGCTCAGAGTTCGTCTCGTGCTCTATCAGTTCAGGGCTCTTCCATGTCGGGTGCATCATCTAGTCATTCTGGTGCTAGGGTTTTCCTTCGGTCCCCGTCTCCAGCACCCGAGAGTTGCTATGAGTGTGGAGAGATGGGTCATATGTGGAGGCAGTGTCCTCGTCATCTTGTGAGTTCATCTCAGCAGAGGGGTCAGTCATCGGCTTTAGTTCCAGTTAATTCATCATCACCCACCCAGTCAGCTAGGGGTGGAGGTTAGTTAGCTAGGGGTCGCCCCAAAGGGGGAGGTCGATCAAGTGGCGGTCAGGCCTGTTTCTAAGCACTTCCAGCTAGACCCGATGCTATTGCTTCCGATGTTGTTATTACAAGTATTGTTTTAATCTGCCATAGAGATGCCTCTGTATTATTTGATCCCGGTTCCACCTTTTCTTATGTGTCATCATACTTTGCTCGGTATTTGGGTATGCCCCATGAGTCTCTTACTTCACCTGTTCATGTATCTATCCTGGTGGGTGATACTATTTTTGTAGACCGTGTGTACCGGTCGTGTGTGGTAATTATTGGGGGTTTGTAGACCTGAATGGATCTATTACTATTATGTATGGTGGATTTCGATGTTATTTTGGGCATGGATTAGCTATCTCCGTGTCGTGCTATTCTGGACTGTCATGCTAAGACAGTCACATTGGTTATACCGGGTGTGCCACAAATCGAGTGGCGAGGTTTGTCTGATTATGTTCCTAGTAGGGTAATTTCATTCTTGAAGGCCCAATGTATGGTTGGGAAGAGTTGTCTAATATCTAGCCTTTGTGAGGGATGTCGGTGCTGAGACTTCCAATATTGATTCTATTTTAGTTGTGAGGGATTTTCCTGATGTGTTTTCTGCATACGTGCTAGGCATGCCACTAGATATGGATATTGATTTTGGTATTGATCTGGTGCCGGGCACTCAGCCCATTTCTATTCCTCCGTATCGTATGGCACCAACAGAGTTGAAGGAGTTAAAGGAATAGCTTCAAAAACTCCTTGATAAGGGGTTCATTCGACCTAGTGTGTCACCTTAGGGTGCGCCGGTTCTATTCGTGGAGAAGAAGGATGGCATAATGAGGATGTGCATTGATTATAGGCAATTGAACAAAGTAACAATTAAGAACAAGTATCCTTTGCCTCGTATTGATGATTTATTCGACCAGCTTCAGGAAGCGAGAGTGTTCTCCAAGATTGATCTCCGTTCAGGTTATCACCAGTTGAAGATTAGGGACTCGGATATTCTTAAGATAGCTTTCAGGACCCGATATGGTCATTATGAGTTCTTGGTAATGTCTTTTGGGCTGACCAATGCCCTAGCAGCGTTCATGAATTTGATGAACAACGTGTTCCGGCCTTATCTTGACT